GTACGACTAGACACGACTGGAAGGGTCGAAGCAGAGTCAACCCTGCGTTGCGCAGTTCTCAACGGCCACGTTGCGCAGTTTCGCCCGATTAGACACGTTCTCTCGCGCGAACATTCACACTCGCATGCTCGAGCCGTCTGCGTCTCCGCCCATACAGCGTGCGTTGAGGATCTCTCAACGTGCCGTTGCGAACTGCGCAACGCAGGGTTGACTCTGCTCCCCCCAATCAAATTAGCACCATGAATCCAATACTAAAAGTGTCATTGACCAATTTCGCCGCAAATGTAACTTTGCAATAAAGAAAATGTATACCATGCGACTGTAAATTCGTTGGATGAAATTGATGTATACAAACTCAAAAAAACGCGGTTTTTCGCAAACTCACTGGAGTAGCTTGGACGTGTCCTGATGTATTAATACCATGGCATGATTCACTTATTGATATGCTCACTCTAGACACCACAGATGTGATATGATATTCGGCTGAGGGCACTGTACCACCACCGGAGCTCGACTTCGAAATGAACTTTGCTAATGAGATCTCGAACGATTCTGAAAGCAGTTTCGGTTAGGAATTCAAGAGGACACAGGAATCACAAGAAAGCGGTCAGTATACTATATGCGTGCCTGTGGCGGTATTCAATCCTTCCCTCGGGGGCAGGGTCAACCCTACGTTGTTACGAGTAACAACGGGGGGGTCGTACCTGGTTGAGTTTGTAGGAGGGGGGTCGTACCCACTTTAGTCGCTCGAAATCACGTGTGGGATTGAGGAGAAACTAAGATTTCGTGGGTAGTAGGTTGTGCGAGTAGAGGGCGCGCAAGATAAAAATTTGCCGTTTCAGCCGGTGTATATACCCCCCTAGAAAAGGAAACAGTGAGATTATAGGGAGAAATTGGGTAAATTGGTTGAAAATTTAGGGAATTGTGGGAAATTATGGGAAAATTTTTACTGTTTCAGAGGGACTATATACCCCCCCCCCCTCGACGGCGAGAATATGGTGGTCGAGGTGTGGAAAAGGGGGTCGTACCAAATCCACCTTGGGGGAGGGGGGTCGTAAAAATTTTCGAAAAGTAACAACGATAGGGTTGACCCTGGGGATACATCCCCCCTGGGATATCATATCCCCCTCCTCTGATTCAATCCTCTGGGGGGACAAAAAAGGGTTGCGTCATAGGACCTAGCATACCTCTGTGTTTCTACCTGCCAGACAGTTAGAGCAGCGCTACTACCCTCCACTGATGAAGCACTCTTTTCCCCTGAGGGGTCGCGCTGCTCTAACTGTCTGGCAGGTAGAAACACAGAGGTATGCTAGGTCCTATGACGCAACCCTTTTTTGTCCCCCCAGAGGATTGAATCAGAGTAGGGGGATATATCCCCCTGGGGGAAGGATTGAATACCGCCCCAGTATTCTTTCCCTCTCTACATCTTCACTGTTAGTGTGAGGCTAAGAGATCATGATATATCCTTCGCCAGGCCCATTCTGTTGGGCCCCCTTTGAAGGCAGGTAGCACGACGAATTGTGTGTTCAGGAAGGCAAGTGTGCATGATATTGGGTTGGATCATAATATCGTAGCGCTTGCATTTTTCATTTTTGCACACAAACGTTTGAAGCAAAAAATAAAAACATAAAACTAATCAGGATGTTCACTTTGTCATTATTTACGACTTTTATTCTGTTTCGCAGAAAGTCACCGGATTTGATTTAAAAAAATGATTTTGCGCTGGTTCTCGAAGGAATCACTATTCTCAATTTGTACGGCAAGAATGTGGTTTCAATTTGCGCTTAAAGGCAGGGTTGATCAGAGCAAGTTTGATAAGAGCAATGGATTTCTGAAGAACTTTTGTTCTTGACGGTTTTTTTTTCTTTATGTGAACTGAAAAATAGCAGCTGTCGAAATGCCGATTTCTGCCGTCTGGATTTTCCAACTTCTAAGCATTATGTATGAGTACAAATATAATTTTGAGGGAAATGACAAAGTAATTTTTGTAGAGCGAAAAAAGCACTTTCAAAAGGTATAGCGATTTTTAGGGTTTCTCTTGTACTGATTGAATTTACACGCCCAAAAAAAAACGCTACGATATTATGCTCCAACCCAATATGAAGGAATTCTGTTTCCCAAAGGAAGAAAAGGGTAGTGCCTGAGAGAGTGAAGGGCGCGCCCGCATCGGCCTGGCAAGGTTTTCTCTGTCTCTTTAGAGTTGACCCCCCTTCCCCACTCGACAGCAGTTTCGGATGAACTCTGGGAGCTGAAGTTTGGAGTGTGTCTTTGTTGCCAGAATCACAAGGATTGTGGAGGTGGTGATGTAAGGGGGTGACATGGGTTGTGGGCTTTCCAGAGATTCATATTTCCCAATTTTTTTTACCTTCTTGGTTGATCTTGGTAGGTGATTGGAGAACGATGATGACAACAGTGCGATTACAAGCCCAAGATCCTGAAATGTAGTACGGATAATGCGGAAAAGGGTGTAGGAAATGCTGAAAACCTCAGCAAATGAACCAGATAACTATGAGGATTTAGGGCGAGATTGGTCTATAAGCCGTTATCTATGGTGAATGAGGATAACCAAAAAGAAAGTAGAGCGGAGACTTAGAGCGGGTGAAGTTAGAGTTGGAGATAAATTCAGGGCTAAATGTATAGACCGATGCAGCGCACCATTCACATTGGTGGCTCCTCATTTCGAGATAACCACGGACGAATGTCTCACCAATGAGAAAGGCACACTTCACACAGCGAACTGCACGCCGTAGAATCATAATCCATCATGTGTACATCTGTATGCCCGGCAACAGACCCTTAGTTTCTTTGCGAGCAAGGACTGGGAGATATAATTAATTGTAGGAGTTTCCGGAAAATATAATTCAGATGTGGTTGTGGCAAGGGGACCACTTACCAAGCGCACGGTTTGTGACACATATCCTAGTATGAACCTGAGCTTGGCTAGCCAGGACTCTTCGGGGGTAGGCCAACAATGGCCCACGCATCGGCCGAGCTGCAAGCCAAATCATATTGAAGCCGCCGTTGCTCCGAATGGAAGGCAATGGCCTGTTGCAACCTAAAAAGGAATGGTTGAAGACCATGCTCTACATACAGCGTAATCCAATAAGCTCACTGACACAGCCAATACACATGTTTCCGTTAACTGCTTGAAGTGGGACTCTTCCACTTGTCACTACGTCTAGTAAAGAGGCAACCGTGATGATCTTTGAGAAATACTCTTAAAACGTAAATCATCGTGTGAGCTTGGAGGGAGTGATCTTGAGACGGGGGGGGGGGCGTTGCGGTTTTGATGACGTATTTGAACGCCATTGACGAAAGGAGCGGTCCCAGCTACCGTCCGTTCCTTTTCGTTATTCTTTCAAAAAATATGCCCGGTTTAGTCTCCATGTTATCCCTTGTTGGAACCTCGGCATTATTGACCCTTCTGTAGCCAGGCGAGGTTGATAGTTGGAACCTTTTTATTGAATGGTCCGAAGTTTCGACCTTTTCGTCTTCTTCAGAGGCCTGGAGATAGCTTTATTTTCAAGACTTCGGGCCATTCAATATAAAGGTTCCAACTATCAACCTCGCTTGGTTACAGAAGAATGAAAAGTATGCCCGGTTTTTCTTCTTTCAATAGAATAAGCATGTATGGCGCATCTTCAGCATCACGTAAACTTATCACGATGTGATGCCCTATCATAGGATCTTGCAAAATTGGAACTTCTGTGTGTGCACGGTTTGGGGTTGGTAAGCAAGGCTAAAACCACTGCATAGACATTCGGCACATTCAATCGTCTCCATTATAGTCTATGAAATTGTAAGTGCATGGTGCATTCCAAAGTGAATGATCAGCTGACTCGACTACCCCGACGTTGTTTCATGGTCTTCACGTAATGGGATTACTGATAATGCTCAAAGGAAGTAAGCTCCAAAAACTTATGTATTGTAATTCGTGCGTTGCTCGCAGTAATGAAATAGAAATATAAAAACGAATAAATACTTTATACACATACCAATATGACACCAGTAACATACATAACATGCAGTAACAATCGCACACTGCGAAACAATAGATCACTCAGTTGTCGCACAGTAGCTATTTCTTTACAATGATCCAAGCACCTCCACCATACGGTAAAAGGGAAGCACGAACCTAAAGAACACGTTTTAAATTTCAAATCTATTTAGATTTTGCACTTACTGTTCACTTATTTTGATTGGTTGCACCTTCTTCCCCATCAAACGGGAGTTACTTGAGGTGTAGAAAGTAAGCTGATACTAGTAAAAAGAGAAGACGCATGTATCCTACTTTACTTGGATTTACCGGACAGCTCTCCGTACCACATGCATGTACACTTCCTAATCGTGTTTTTTGGCCAATAAGCATACAAAGAATGCCGCACAAGATTATAAGTTAAGGAACATAGGATGTATACCGTAACCCACATTTGCGTCAGAGCGCGGTTGCAGACTTTCCAGTGCAGCAGACTTTCCAGTGCAGGTCCGCCCCGCCGCTTGCGCGATGAAGCCGAACACCGTCGCCTCGCCTGAATGATGCGCGCGGGCAAAGGGAGGTAATCCCCGGTGCCTGATCACAGTCACTTGCGTTGCATCCTCCACCTTCTACATAAACGGCGCTTAGTACTCTGCGCGGGCCTGCTCGACGCATTCTCTCTTCGTTGAGAGGGTGCAGAGAAGACGAGAAAATCGATGACACGTGAGAATGCGCGCCCCAGTGCAACGTCGAGAAGGTTACGGTATACACCCTATGTTCCTGAACTTATAATCTTGTATGCCGCAGTCCGTCTCTACAGGAATGCAAGTCCGCTAACAGTGTGAAGTGTCGGACGATAAGGAACACCAGCGGAGCGCGTCGGACTACTACAAAGCATAATTCTTTAGCAAGCGTGCCTCGATCAGGCACAGAATTCACCAATAAGTTCGATGAATTGGTTGCACCATCCTGTGAGTACAGTATTCCAGGTAGGCTCACTCAGCACACCAGTACATTGGCTAGCCTGCATAAGGGTGAACAACAGTTGAAGAAATCCTCGATTATGGCTCAGTACGGTGTGAGGTAGTGTCGGAGTGAATGTACGCGCGGAGAGCACGAACGGCTCGCGCGTGGCGAGAGTGAATGTTCGCGCGAGAGAGCGTGATTGAACAAAAGAAAACCCTCGACGAGTTGCCGACAACTACTTGACCGATTTTCACCCTGGCCTGCATTACACATGATGTTAAAGAGATTTTAATCATCTTCAGCAGACAAGTTCATAGCAGGGTGAACATCGCCCGAGGAAACAGCCACGGCAGAAAATGCCTCTCCTCCCTTCTCAAGTCTTGGTATGACTTCCTATCCCATAACAAATACAATCCCTCTTGATCGATGTCAATGGTATCGCCTTGTTGAATCTGGCACACTCTAACTCCGCCCTCGAAGCTCCTTCAGTATTGCGGTCGTGCGAAGTCGACGGGTTATAGAAGGGGAGGAGGGAGAAGGGTACATTTGAAAGCTGACCAGCATCTTTTACGTCCTGCCTCGTTATTCCATTTCCAGAACGTATCCCCCCACTACTGCCTCCATCAACTCCCCACCTACGACCCCCAAAAATCTCCTTTACCACATCTACCCTCCCATTCTTCTTCTCGCCATGTGTTCCTTTGCCACAAACTAGTATAATGACCAAAATCAACTGCAGAGGAAAAAGCATCCCTACTTTAGCAATTATTGTGTCCTTTCTTCAATCGGCAAACCGTATAGCAAATACAAGTCCATATTTGAAACCAGATACGCCATCATGCTGTAGGAAATTTGTCGTCATCTAGGGAACCATATACCACCTCAGTACTTACTTTCATTCTGAATTCAAAGGTCGGGCTCATTCTCACTAGGACCTCCCTTAGGTGGGAGGACAAGTTGTGCAAATGTAGCGGTTGCAACAACTTAGCATCTCGAACCACCCTACTAAGGCGTTAGGCTGACGCCACTAAAAGCACATGAACTACCTTGTTTTTGATTGTTGGCTGCTGTTTTTGGCAGCAGTTCGCCTTGCGAATGTTTCACAAGAATGCTGGGTTGTGAACAAAACTTTCGCCCCAGGCGGGACTAGAACCCGCACCTCTCGCTTTCCGGGCAAGTGCGCTACCAGTTACGCTACCGGGGCACCGATTTGCCCTAAGCTTTGGTGCAAATTTGCAAAGGATAAACCTGAGAAGTTACGTACTCACCCGTGCATCGTGTTTTATCCGGCCATTCATACTGGCTATTGCTCGATCGTCATCGGACATCACTTCAATACCAGACAGAACGCCGCCATTGTTCAAAGCCTGAAACGGGGAGTCGTAGGTCATGCTTGGTAGATAGAAAGATTTCAGACAACAGTTACTCTTACCCCTCTCCATCTGAATCACTTACCCCTATTTCGGAAGACGAGAAGAGCGTCGAGTGCAGACCACACACCACAAGTGACGACGGCCAAGAAAAAAGCAGCTTTTTTCTTTTGCCGTCGTCACTTGTGGTGTGTGGTCTGCACTCGACGCTCTTCTCGTTTTCCGGAATAGAAGCTACATCCTCACCATCATTAGCACCAGCTTATTTCGAAACATGCTTGGTCAAAACCTGATACTGACCTTGATCGGGGTGGGCATATGGTACCAGAAACGATGAAATTCCTATCCCTTCCAAAGCTAAAACTAAAAGTCAGTTGACGTCCCTTCGCCATTCACACTACTTTGAAAGCACAATCTTCATTGGTGACAACACCATTACATCTTTCCTAATCTGTTGTATCACCTGCTTCCCCCCCCCCATTTCCTCTGCAGGTTTCAGCTAAGGTGTGACCGCGACTGCGCAGAAACTTCCACCGTAACAATCAGTGGTCTCCATCTGACTTTGTCCTCGGGCTGAACAGTAACAAAGGCCAAGAGAGTCGCCACACTATCATCACATACCTCAGCAACACTACCTTGACGCACTGAATACACAAAGCTCCTTACATCACAGTATTCCTCCCAGCATCTGATCCCTATTTGAGAATGACCACTCACATATTTCTCCCCGACCGAACGAACACTCAACGGCAGAGTATTCGTCAAAAATATTCGGCTTACTTTATTAATTATTAAAAGTCCTCCGCTTCTGAGCAGACGAACAGCGTGTTCATAGTCGTCCAAATAGCTCTCACGCTCAAAGTCATCCTGAAATTTGAAGCGAATTTCGACTGTGGCATCCAATTCGTTTCTGGTGGGCTGATTACCAGGAAAACGAAGTCGAACGTGTTAGGTTCATTGGCAGCCAAATTTGACAACGAGCGATCAATCGACTCTGCTGATCGCACGTGGATTCGAGACATTTGAGCGTGAGGCATCTGAAATGAGAAAATTGAAAAGTATTATAGCAGGGGAAACAATTTTCATGAGTGGAGAAGAGCTGAGAAAAATTTTGCAGTAAGGAAAGGGGAACCCGCCACTGCCACACGCTCAATCCGTGGAGCGAGACTCGCCCAGAACCTAGGTCAATATGACACAACTTCTTCACAGTTGAGAGATAGCCGGGCGGTTATGAGTGGATTGGGGGAGGGTGGAGGGGGGGGGGCTCACGAGCGCATTCTCAACAAACAAGGACCCGACCTCTTTTTTCTGAGGCGGAAGCCAAGCCCATTTGCAAAAATGGTGCCCTTGCGAGGGTCGGGAGCAGATTGACAAGCCAACTAAGGAGCTCAGCTGCGACAAAATTGCAAGAATTTGACAGGTTACGGAGCAGAAGGCAATATCTCCACAATTCTGTTGGAAGCGCGAAACACGGCACATATGAAATGGACTGATCAACGTTGACATAGTAACACTTCTGTTACTATTTGGAGGCATTATAAATGCGATTGGCACTTTATAGTGGCTTGCGGGGGGCCACTCAATGGACAACCCAGTGGACTCGTCATATAAAGAAGCCGACACCAATTGACCAACACTGAAGGGATGGAAGGTCTGGTTGACGGAGGGGCTACGGCCCAGGATTTGATCCCCGGATCGAGCGCATGAGAAGCACATTCCCCTGCGGTAACCCATTTTCGCCGTGACAGTAGAACTTATTTAACTGACCACACCGACCACATCTGGCGAAAGTATGTAATTGATAGTGATGTGAAATGTCAAAGCATACCTTTTTTGCGTATTTCATGCCGACGTTTTCCCAGAGATGAGCGTATTTGGGATGCTCGAGAGCTATGATCACACCTCTGTAGTCCACTTGTTCAGCGATCCCGAGCAGAGCAAAGCCAGTAAAAACTCCTAAAAGTTTCTGTTTGGCTCAGAAAAGGTTGACATAAAAAGACGAAAGTGGGTCCATAAGCAGTTGAAAATACTGGCCGACGACTGAAAAATATCAAGATAAGGAGAGGGTTCTAATTTTCCCCTCAACGTATGGGTATTGGAGAACTGTGACTGGCTGAACTTGACAGCCAGCCACTCATAATCAACCTCCCCACGGCTGTAATGGCTTTGAAGCGGATGCAGCGACTGGTATAAAGAAGGAACTACCTATAACAAGGCATCTAGATGGTTTGTAGAGCAACATGAGGGACTGTGCCAATTGCAGAACTTCCGGAGTCACAGAATTGCGCCATGATAGCGTGGCTGGGAATGATGCCTTGTGCGTCTCCTGAAATGGCTCCGTTACTTCTCGAGACCACACAATCGGTGGAGACGTTTAAGATGAACAACGGTTTTATCTGGTTTTTATTCGCTAGTTGGCGAGTTCGAACTTACCTTAACTCTCCATGGGGTATTTATTTTTCCTAACAAAAATGCATATTTGTAATACGGAGATATTCGAAAACAGCATCCTTGGGATTTGTTTCTTGGATAGATGTCAACTTTTAACACCTCTAACCTCTTTCTATTCCATGCAATTCCGAATATTACGTATTTACCAATTCTGGACCATTCAATTTGAGGATCTAATTGATTACGTATCAAATAAAAAAAGGAGAACAAATCAAAAGAGCTCACCCGGAGTAAGCCTTGCATGTACTCGTCAATAATTGTTGAGTGACTGTAAGCGTACTGAAGTATCGGATCAGTAGTGTCATAGCTTTCAAGTCGAACTTCACAACGTTTGCCTGGCTCTAAACACCTATTTTGTGAAACAGTTTTTTACAAAGGGAATATTGAGTGAAGACAGAACTTGGGGCTCAGTTTGAGCGTTAACAGGGGCACATTACTGCTAAATGCGAACTAATGCTAACCGCACCTTAAGAATTTCTCTGCGCCCAGTGTTCAACTTATTTATGTTTCTTATGAAGGTCATTCATCTGAATCCCATCTGGATACCAGAGCTCAAGCTGGTAGGCTTAGGACTCATTAAATCCTACGAACCAGCAAACTTGAAAATTAGAGGACTGGCTTTGATACGCTGGCGTCAGAGTCCAGTAAGGCCGGTTTCCGAGTCTGTGACTTGTCGCGCGATTTGCGCGACTCTCGCGACGGATCACGGACTCTGACACTAGCCTTTATTACTTGTTATAGTTGCAAAACCATCGGATTCAAGATTTTCACTGGTTCAAAAACAGGACCAGCGCCAGTGCTCCCTTGTCGTTGATGGATACTCCTTCAAAAGTAGGAAAGTGGATGAGCTCGCCAATGGGAACCGGAAACTACAAACTGGAACCACTCACAGGACCAGCGTGGAATTCGGTTTTAAGTTGCTCCGAAATCTCATTTGGGCCAATCCAGAATTCGGGATAATTTTATTCAAGGTTCGCTTTTGAGGAGATAAATGCTAAGGGAGGCATACTCACGACAAATATTGCATGTTTCTGAAGTAGTCTGACCCGATGCAATGAGTGGAGAGTGCTCAGCTGGTGGAATCGGTCGCGTAAACTTCATAGCCTGAAAATTCTTTCTTGCTGAATAAGATATTACTTCCAGATATCATATATCAGGGTAATGAAAATCACCTTGACATGAAATGGAATGTTGCCGATGGTTGCTGGCATCTCACTAGTAGTGTGGGAATAAATGGTTTCTTCCGGAGAAAATGGAATATTTCTGAACGGAAGCTTCAAAATGTTGTCAGGATTGAAACTGCACACTTGAACTGCTAAAAATCGGTGTTACCTTTCAGTATTTGGCAGTACTGGCTTCCACGTGAACGGCTTCCTTGTGATCACAGCGCGTGCGGTGGACGTCGCTGACGTCGGCCAAATAAACACCGGGCTATAGGTCGAATAGGTCTGTGGTCGGCTTCTACTTGTTGAAGCTGTCATTCGCGAAGTGCTGCTTCGAACGGTCGGTGCTGTCACTGCAGTACGCTCAGGCACTGGATAAGTCGGTGTTGTAAAGTGCGGAGTGATACTTGTTTGATCCGTTGAGATTGACAAGCGAGACGATGCTGCAAATGACAGAGAGTTGACGCGTGGCGCAGTGGTTTACGATTTGCACAGCATAAGTATGGCCGCGTGTTCAATCCTTGTTAGTACAGTCGAGATTTTTTAAAGCTTACGTGTTGTGGTGACATTGAAGAATTGACGAATTCCATTTGCAATCGCTCTTCTTTCCTCTTCGTCGAACGTTCTAGAAATCAGGCGGCCGATACCGGAAAAGAATTGTTTTCCTGCTGAAACCGTTTGAACTGACGAAAAATCGCAAGCTAGCTAGAGGAGAAGTGAAGAACGTTTTTTTTTGGTGGAAGAAAAGAACATAGAAAAAGCAAATTTTTATAAAAATGGGTGACTTTCCCAGTTTCAAACACATTTTCTACTTACCTGATGCCAATTTGCTGAAACTGACAGGGCCAGTGCCATCGTCGGAGCCATCGTAGCGTGCTGCTTCACGTAAAGCCTGGAGAATTGCTTCGAAGTTCTCCTTAACAAGCCAGGTAAGAACTGAAATGAACTGAAGACCTATGGAACACTCACAAACGGTAACCATAATCCGTTGATGTGAAACATGCAGGTGGTCAAGAGGATGAGTCCAACTCTCATGACGAGGTGTCGGTGTGGTCTGCGATGAAGTTGCAGCTTGGGCGTCCATTGGCGTCACAACATGTCAAACTGTCAACGGGCGTCGTGCGCCACCAAGACGTTTCCGGTGGTCTTCCGTTCTACCTTATGTGGAGAAAAAGGAACGTTAAGCAAACAGGAAAGTACTGAAGCTGCGGAGATCCCTCCACTATGAAACAAAAGAAGTTTTCAGCCAAAAAAAAACAAGAAATTACCACCTACCTCACAACTTGTCTACGGCTAACAAAAATAAGGTTCACTAGTAATAACTGAGAGATAGTTTCATGATTATGATAATATAAGATAACTAATTTGTTATTAAACACGCCGACTATTACTAAATCATTGGTAAAGGTGGAGCGATGGCAAGTGGCACACAGCACAGGGGTCAAATCTCGGATCGAATTCGCCCAGGCCAAGCAGAGCTCACATTCCCTAGGAAAGGTTTGAAAAAAACGAAAATTCTGCCTTTCAAACCGGCTGGCCTCACACTTCATTGTGAAGAATCAACTGCATTCAATTGCAGCCATGTTCAATGCATGTTGCATTAGCGAAAGAATAAATCAAACCTGAATGCCTTATTTTATACCAAGTGTAATGTGCTTTATTTACCATAGAAAATTTCACAATTGCAAATATGGATATCTGCGGAAAATAGCTCACACTCTCCTGCACTCCAGGGTCAACCGTCCGTTGGACAAAGTCCAACGCGACGACGAGAGTAATGCCGAGAGTGAACGTACGCACGGAGACACAGACGGCTCGCGGGTGGCGAGAGTGAATGCCGGCGCGGAGAGCGGTGAACATCGGTCCAACGTCGCTCCAATATCGGTCCAACGTAACGGTTGACCCTGCTCAAGGGACAGCGGTTGAGGCAATTTGGTCGTCCACAGCAAGTACATTCTGTACTAGGAGAAGTGCGACTTATTGTTGGCAGACGGAGTGTGACGTGTTCCGTGGCCTGAAGCTCTTTTGAAGCGGTTTAACAAAGTCTACTAAAATGCAAGTCTGGAGCCGACTGTAATCTCAAATCCAGCCACTTTAACCGCTGTACTTCATCCAAGACGATACGGCCTTTTCAACAGGAGCGCGGAGCCCTTCATTTACGTTGATGATGGTAGTTGTAGGGGAACTGGTCTCAGCTCTATAAACCGAAAACCGTAAGCTGATCTTTGAATTTGGAACTAGGTTACGTGACTCGGTAGTCAAGGAAAACAAACAAACTATTGAAAATGCCTTAAATTAAGCCGTGCTATTCGAACTGCTACGGAATATTTTCAAGGCTTGTGAAGCCGAGTAGTTAGTAGTTCGACGATATGATATGGAGCAAAGAGGCTAGTGAGGCGCAGACATCAAAGCGCCTGGACACAGTCATTTGAGATGAGCACGATCTGATGCTCACTACCAACCTCACAGCAGCAAACCCACAATGTAGGTGCTATGCACCTCCAATCTGCCAAAATTGGCGTTACCATTGCGCTTTCTGACAAGTTTTTTTTTTCAAGACCATTCTCATCGTTTTTCCACTTTGGGGCTGTGGTTGGGCTGCCTGGCTCGAGTGCATGAAAAATAATTCAAGAGGCAGCACAAATCTTGTAGCCCGTCCTGGCAGCCGGAAAAAAGTCAGATTTAGCCTTAGGAGATCTCCTTGGAGAACAGCGCAATTTCTCTATTCAATGGAATAATCCACCTTTATGGACCAGTCCATATCAAGATACTTGCTCGTAATCTTGCTAAGGCAACTTCACTTGGAAGTTCTCCGGCCAACTCCTGTTTAGTCTTTACCAGACTCTTTTACATAAGGGTTGTGATCGCAATCAACAATCTGAATCCATGCGTGTGTACCATGCTTTCTTTTTAGTCTATTGAACAAAAAAATGATTTTTATTCATAATATACAGTTCGATGTCACTTGTTGACTTCATTGACATCATATGGCAGACATGATCTAGTCACCCAAGAATATTATTGTCTCTGTTGTAAAGTGACCATTCACTTCCTAAGAAGTTCGATGGTTGGCGATAATAGTAGCTATTGTATCCGTAGGTTGGTTGGCGAGCGTAGTAACCATTGTATCCGTTGTAGGCCCGCTGTGGCCCGTAATATGGTTGCCGGTAAACAACGTAGTTTGTGTAGTACTGTCGCTTTGACCGAAGGGCCCTAAAGCACATAATTCAGAAAAAATTCTCCCACAGAAAACAGCAAAAATGGTCAAATGGTTTCCTCACTAAAGTGGCTTCATTTTGATCGGCCTGACGTGCAGGGGGTGTGAAGGTAGAAGGACAGGAGCCAGTTCAGTCATGGCGGCACTTCGGCGGAATACCTATTCGCAGGACT